AAAAGTCAAAGAAAACCACAAAAAAAATATTATTCAACGCGACGCATTCATTAACAAGTACTCTCCGCTTACTGATGAGGCGCTGCGACTCATCTCCATATATCACCGTTGCTTTTTTTTTTTTTTTATATTTTTCCTTCATCGTTTGTTGTTTTTCATTTCTTCTCACCAAATTCATCGGGCGCGTCACTGAGAGGGGTTCCGGCGGCTGCGCTTTCTTCTTGAATTTGGGGTATTCTAACGGCCACGCCGTCGCGCGTGTCGATCGCAACAGTTCGCATCTGCGGGTGTTGCAGAACCGCAGGCAGATCAGGGCGAAATGATCCGCCCAAGTCAACGCGGCAAACTAGCTGTAATACAGATGCTGCCTCTGGCTTGAACTCGATATCCGGGTGGCACAGATACTCCACCGTTGCCTGCTGGCCTTCGTCTTCCCTCTGTAGCAAACAGACAAGCACAAGACGCAGAGTACCTCTGGCGGCCAGACCGTCCAAGCCCCGTTTCTATTTTCACGTAATGAGATATCATTGCAACGATGTGTGCATGCATGCATGCATGCACGTGCATATGGAGGAACAGGAATATGAGAACGCACCTGTTCTACAGCTACGGGTTTCCACCAGACTCTGTATTTGAGTTTATATGCCACCCTATACGCCTGCCATATCGCTTGTTCCTTCGTGATACCCCCCATAATAGAAAGGGTGCCAGTGGGGGCCAGCAGAGCTGTGCATGCAGGCTTCTGCAATCTGAATACAACCGGCTGCGATTGGCCCACACCTATCTCGGACTTGGGGAGGCTACGCGCGATCAGCAGCAAATCGGAGCGGGAGAAGCCGCGGGAACACAGACGAACGCTCAGCCATAAATTTGTTATGAATGCTGAGGGGTTCAGCTGGCCACTCAGAGGCAGAGGAATCGGCTTAGGAGGCAACTCCAGAGCCACCGGCCCAGCCTCGTCGTTTGCCGGGGGGGGAACAGGCACCAGGCTACGCATCGTTCGCCTCGCTGCTGCTCCCCCAACAGCCTCCATTGAGCGTTCAAAGCATTGTTAGGAGAGCAACGTCAAGCGACGTTTCCTCTCAGCAGATCATCATAGGCTTACGATGTATGCTGCAGTAGCACAGAAAAAGTATGCGGAACAGCTCGCGTTTTCTGGACCCAATACGGCAGCAGAAGCAAGGATGAAGGTAGATCGCATGCGCTGCAGCTTGAGACAGAGAATAATACAGTGAACAGCGCTTGCATCGACTGGGTGTGTGGACTTCAGTAGCTGCGGAAGGAAATTGCGTTAAAGAAAATGAAAGAAATCACACGAGGTGATCTCAGAGATGTCAGAACAATGTAAATACTTTTGTTGTTATTATTATATAGTGTACTGCGATTGGGGTCTTTACGCAGGAAACCAATGACACATAGCACGGGCACCACAGTGCAGCTCAAGTGGGACTTGTACAGAACTAGTTAGCTGGAAGAAAACACACAATACAATACTAATAGAAATATGTTGTATTACATTAGATAGAAAATTAAGATAACAAAGCCAAGGATGCTCGGCAGCCATACAAGGTTGGGGCTGGCCATGAGGCTGATGCTGAGGCTGAGACACTGCTTCCTTGCACAGTAAGCGGGATATTTATCCTTCGGCTCCTCTTGTAATATCTCTGGACTCGAGTATGTTTCAAATATTGTTATTTTATTATTCATATTAAATTAGGGGAAATAGGCTGCGTTTAGAGTTTAGGTTTAGAGTGTGTACATTATTAGGTACATACGTAGTAGCAGCAGAGTCTGCTGCTCTCTATAGTTGAGGGCCGTTCCGAGTTAGAAACTGAGAACTCTTGTTTTCATGGTGGATCACCAACTTCGAACGCTACTCGCTTGTTTTAGTATAGGATCTATATCGTCAGCGTCAGGTACGTACATGCAACTACGCAACGGGTGTAACGCGGTCTGCCTACAGATAGCATAGGAGCCTTGATTTGGCCTTGGTAGGTGGCATGTATGCAAATACAAAAGCTCTACAAGTGTATGCACAGGTAAAGCATGCAATAAAGGAAGCTACGTTGAAGTTTCCTTGTGTGCGCACATGGGGCTGGCTCGTGTCACTAGCCGCAGCGATCTGCGCTGCAACTCCATTTTAGGCTGCCTCACCCCCGCAACACCGTGGCCCTGCGCTCAACGCCCAGGGCGCCTGGGGACAAGGGAGAGGTCAGCTGCTCAGGGAAACTCTTACTTTAAGTATTGACATCCAATGCTTCCGTCCTTGATTAGGACCAGAGAGCAAGAGCTATATCCGGAATACCCCAGGTGGTAGTCATATGCAGTATCTACAGGAGAAGAGGACACCAGGTCACGAGACGGATCGTGAATTTTATGCAAACGATGAAGGAACGCCTACCCTATCCATCGAGCGAAGTTCACCAAAGAAGGAAGCCACTTCACGAATAAGACAATGAGTCACTCTGCTAAACCTACAGCATCTGATTACTGCGTCGGAACTGATGCGTGGTTTACTCTATCGCTGAGAGCATATTGTCACCGAAAGTATGGAGTTAAGCTAGTTCCCGAAGACGGGCATACTGTAGGAGCATTCCTGCAATCGATTGAGCTAGAACACGAGAAAGCACGTGTTCGCCGTCATAAGATCTACTGACACTTCGTAGGAAAGGCTGTCGACTATTGGTATCATCTACGGGAATCTAGTGTAGACTTGGAGAACTGGGAGATTAGAGTGGAAATGCCCACTAGATTCTGTGGGATTTCCGGACACTGCCAACACCAGCGCGAGTTGAGGCAACTATATCGAACATACATCGGTGTGCATATATTTCCAGAATGAAGCCCATATTCGCGCAGCTATGCGGACTAATTCCAGCTCTGGCAACAGAGCCAACCCTCGGTCGGTTGCTACTGCGACACTGCAGCAGCTCGAGAAAGGGTTCCGAAAGGGTTCTTCCTTGGATATTGTGGCTGTGTCTTGCAGTTCAACGTTCAACAGCAAATATATGGCATCTTACGCAGAGGAAGCAATTGAACGAAACTTCTCGTATCTACAGTACAATTAGATTTGCCTGCTATGCAGAGTGCAACGGTGCAAAATATGCCGTTGCATCTGACGTCAGTCAATCACTACCCCATCAGATGCAAATTAGGAGTTCTGGAGTTCCTGCAAGGCAACCGCCGAGTTTGTTTCCTTTTAAACGTTTCAAAATGCTTTCCTCAGACTCTTGTCTGAAGTGCCAGTGTGTGCCGTTTCTGCGGTTAACTCTTGGCGGAACCCCGCAGCAAGCACGCCACAAAACTCTAAAGCTTTGTCAAACAATCGTCGTTCACCTCCTAAACATGACCCCTGGCCCCTTCACTGAACAACGAAGAATGCGAATTTCAGAAGCAAAATGCATCTCCCTCTATTTCCAGCTTTGTTCGAACGGCAGGGTTGTGCAATACCGCGGAAACCAGCTGCGTTGTAGCACTCGCGTAAACACCAGCCGTTCCCCTTTAAGCAAAGAGGCTCTGTGCATTTTGAGGCGTTATCGTTTAGCTGCAGTGCAACGAAATGAAGAGAGCATGGGCAAGTTGAAAGCGCCCAAATACGCCTCTTTGTGTCTCGCTGGTTATCTTGCTTCGTTGTCTACAAGCAAACTGGTCAGGAAGGACTTGTCACATGGGAGCGCTCGGGACTGCAGTCAGTGTAAACGCGCTTCGAATTTTCAGGTTATCAGCTTCTCATTGCACTTGAATTTGATTGTGTTGAGTATAGCGGTTTTTCTCTCTCGGTTGAGGCACTTGCTTTGTTTCTGCTTGTTTCTACACTCAGTTCCCAACGAACTGGTCGCTGCGCAGTCGTGTTGTTATTGCAGAAGGGAATCCAAGTTAATGCAGCAGCCTTCAACAGCGCTTTCCCCAACCCCATCCTCTCTCTTTTCGTTATGTTTTGCCCCCGCCGCTCGACTCAGAGTAAGCAGTTCGTGCTCCTGCGAATCCGCAGTACAGCACAAACCAAATCCCTGAAACCCCATGCATGCATTCTCCCATAGCATGTGACGCGTTTATTGAGCTACTGATTAGCACTGTCGTGCCGTCTGCTGCAGACTCCTACGGAGTACTGCGAATGCAGCAAAACCAAGCGGTGGTTGCAAAGGCTTACGGAAAGAGAACCGCACAAATTCTGTCTCAGGCAGTCGAGTGTCACGAGAGCTCCCGACTCAACCTGCACTCACAAACCAAATTTACACCAGTCATTCTGATTGCTCTTAGTGCGGCAATAGCAGTAACGATGACAGACGTTCTACTTGGCTTTTCTGCTGCAGCGACACCGAAAACAATGAGGACGGTTTCAATTCGAACAAGAAACAAGAAACACGAATCAAGGAGCTTCCTCTTGCCTTTAGCTTCCTGAGCTCTTCAGACACTTTGGCACAAACCTCGCGTACACTTGCGCGGGGATATTTGTCTGTGTGTTCCTCCATATGCTGAACACAATGCGAAAACAGAAAACAGACGCATATGTGTTCTGAGCGTTTCAACTGGTAAAATATAAATGTGCATGTGAAAACAAGGTCTGTCACACTCCACTTCCGCATACGTTGCGTTTAAAGCATCAAGTGGCACGCCCAACAACGCCAAGGAATCGTTTTTGTGTTCTGTGTTCTGGCGTTCCCCCTACTGTGCTAAGTTGTTCTTGAGAAGTATTATTATACCTTCATTGTACGCTCATCGGCAGCTGTAATTCTGAATGTGTACCCATTAAGGACGACTTCAGCTCCAACAAAGAAGTCTTGAGCTGAGTATTTTCTCCCCGTTTGCTGGTTCTGCAAGCTGTTCGCTTCGAAGAACTTGCCACCTGCCTGTTATGCAGCCGCAGCGCATTCACTCGGTTAGCTACTGCAAACTCACACGAACTGTAGCAAGCACCCTAAGTAGACGCGCGCGGTGGTATACTAAGAACAACACGAAGCATAACGGCTAACTGTTTTAGTTGGAATTTGCTTTGTTCTCCTCTACTTAATGTCTGCATGTGTGCCCTTAGAATTAGGAAAACCGTGGTATATCGTACGTGGCCCGAATTGCGTTTCTGATACTCAAAGACGGTTATTTTGTCAGTCAGCTCGCGAATAGAGATCCTGAATTCTCTTCCTTCATCTTCTTTTCGTGAGCTCACCAACTCTGCCTGTAGTTGACGCAGTTAAGCGGAAGACACCGAGATGGGCGAACCAGGCGAAAGTCAAACCGTTATTTAAAATACTTTGTGCTGGCGCCTCTCTCAGGTTATGTCGGCTCGCAACTACCTACGCAAAAGCGGCTACCACTGCATTCCCAAACTCCGGTCAATTCGTATCTTTTGATTTAAACGCTTGACTTGCCTTGAAGTTGAGAATGACATCTTCACCGAAGAGAATCTCACGCTCGTTAGGATGTGGCCGTTTGGGGGTCTGCGTATCAAGGTGCAGCACAATCTCACAGTTTGTTACAGGCCCCTTTTGCATCTGTATATACATATATATATGTATATGCATATACATAAATATATATATTTATATGTAGGCCGATAATGCACAATCTCGGCGGAGGCGGAGGTGGGGGGACACGAAAGATGAATACAACGCCGCAAGCTGCGTGTACGAGGCTGGATGATCCGCCCACTTATCTAGAACTTACTATACGGGTGCAGCATTGGATTGTGTCTTCTTCAGTTCCTATGCCGAGGGCATGCGGAGGCCACGTGATTTGTGGAATTTCCTGCATGAATGATTCGAACGCGTGATGCGTGATGCAGGCACTGCGATAGCGCAGAACGCCCGCGCTTGCTGTGAATGGGGGTGTTCTTCAAAGCAACAGCTGAGCTGAGATCAGGACACTTGTTCCTTCTCTCCTTACGCGTTTCTCCTCCGGTATTATTTCCCGGCCCTGCTCAGTGTTCAGGTACTCGC